CATAGTATAAATTACTTGCTGATACCTGTAATACGAATATATTTTCGGATATATTTCCTTTGAGAAAAAGGATGTGACGTTCTGGCTGTTGTGTCGGGATTGAATTTCTTATTTTATTTACTTATCCATTTATTTATTTACTCGCTCATTTATTTATTTATTTATTTATACATTTATTTCAAATTATATCCTACTGGGTATTTTGCTCACGTTTTCTATGTTTCAAATGTATTAAACCCCTCTCAGGCGACTCTAGGAGTGGTACGAAGTAGCTGGATTATTTGCTACCGTTCGATCAAGTGAGGATTGTGTTTATCCTCTTAGATAAATGTAAGGATTTGTAAACTCTGATCTTTGAATTTCTAGACTGTGGATGATGTCTGTAATGTTTTATTTACATGTCATGTATGTACGGTAATGAGATCATGTGGATAGGTCCTCTAATATATTCTAATTAAGTGTGGGGCTCGTTAGGAATTTCCTTTATTATCATGCGTTTAAACCCTAATCGAGCTCCATATCACCGACCCCTGCTTCGGGGCGTGACACATTACCATTCCCCCACTATAACCAAACACACCCTAGAGTCTAGCGTATCGAGCTTTTAAAGATTCCCGCTTAAACACTTATTTTGAAAACCGTCAAGGTTTATAGAAAACCATACACGGCTTATAACATGAATGTAAATATAATTCGTGAATTTCATAATTAACGTATTTCATGGAAATCATATGTTTTAGACTACTATTTTAATCATACAATTGGCGATGTTTGTACTTTCATCTATTCCGTGCTATGCAGTTCCGGTAGTACTTCGCATGTCGTGTCACACTGTGTATTTTCTTAAAGCTAGTTCCGGGGGAACCTCAAGCACTACGAATGAATGATCCTTAGCGACCATCGAAGCCTTGGACATCGAATTCTGAACTTCATTTGATCAGGCTGAATCGTCTCGATCTACGTACACTGTATCGGTTAACTTTTTAACATAATGGAATTAGCTTGAATGGAGATAACCGTTGCATTCAACACGTCAAAACGAGTCTGAGATATGGTCCGAAAATATACATGTCATATCCAAATATCAAAATAAGCTACAGCTTCGAGAATCATAGTAGGTGATCCATATGACCCGAGTATTATCCTGTCCAGGCTGTTGGACAATTTTTCCACTTCCAGCCCATACAATCTTGACTACCCAACATTCCTGACAAAATATGGAGTGGCTTGACAACGCCATTAGCTGTAGGCAATATTAAATACCGCTTTGCAAATACCTCATAAGTCAACATCCAGAGTACGGCTGTTACTTTTTGTAAGTTGACAATCCAATTCTACTAAGCCCATCCTTTTGTTGTTGGAAGTAGTTGTCATGACCTTTCGCCGCATCAACTATACAAAGAATAAACTTGGAGACATTCGAAATCACTGGCCAAACATGGAATCACTGAAACGTGGGTTCTAACCAAAATACTCGTTAAACAGATGAAAATCAACATTTTTCCGATCGCCATGGATCACGGTACGACCAGGAATTGAGCCTCCCCAAGCCACTTCGATGTTTTGTTGATTAAGATATTGAGTGAGTAAGATGTTAAAACTAACATGAAATCGCATCGACATCATCACCATTTTCATTGTCGGAAAACAAAGATGTAGATGATGAAAAGTAATATGGACCTCCAATATTGTACTTCAGTTTCAAAGATGGATAAACGGGTTATTCGTGTCGTGCCGTGTCAACCCGCTAATAAACGGGTCGTGTTTGGGTTTTGTATTTCGACACGATTAATAAACGGGTCGTGTTCGTGTCAGACCTATTCGTGTCAACTGAAGAGGTCAACACGACACGAACACGACCCGCCAACCCGAATTGCCACCCCTATATTTCATAACATAAGAACTCCTAGGCCTCATTCAGTTCGGCGATTTAAATTTTAAATTCAGTTAAGATGTGACTTTATATGAAAACTTTTAACTGTAGCAGAAAAAGTTAAATGTGACTTTATAAGAACTTTTAAATGTAACAAAATTAAAATTGTAAACTCGAATCGGTAAAACGAACAAGACCTTAGTAATTAGATTGCAATTGTTAAATAGATTTCATTGTGATCTCCACCGTCGGATTCAATCTCCAGGAATCTTATAAGCTTTTTACCTTTTCTAATAAGTTCACAAAAGGGAATTTGACCATCATATTATAACCGTTGGATGATTTCATCATGATCTCCACCGTCGGATTCAATCTTAAGAATCTTATATTATCTTCACCGTTCCCAATAATTTCAGTTAAGGAAATATGTATAATTAAATGTAGACTGTTGGATGTATTTCATCATCATCTTCAAAGTTGGATTAAATTTTCATTATCTTATCAGCGTACCTTCATATTTTCTGGAAATCACACATCACACTGAAGTAGTAATCACAATCATTCATTCTATTTCAAAACACATCTCTTCTTTTCTTTAACCAACTGTTTTCAAATCAACAACTTGTGTGGAAATCACGATCATTCATTTTGCTGATAGTATATACTCAAAATCGTCCGCTATTGTGCAAATAACTCGCGATCCACGCGGCGCAAGAAAAAAGTATTTTTCCATGAAACGAGAAGCACGTGGAAAAGACGCCGCCTCGTTCACTTCACGGATTCGAGTTTTCAATTCGAGCTGAGATGTGACATTTTCTGAGAGCTTTTCACTGTAGCAGAAAAAGTTAGATGTGACATTTTCTGAGAACTTTTTACTGTAGAAATCTAAAATTGAAAACTCAAATCGGTGAAATAAACGAGGCCTGAATATGCATTTGGAGTTCAACAATCATGGTTTGCAACTGTGGCAGGACTAGCACAAGTCAGGAAAAACGACGGATTACATGATAAAATGAGTGCGTGCATGGGGCAATAGGATAATCGAGGATGAACGTGATATTTAATGCACCAATTCAAGCTGCAATGGAAGTGCCAACTCCAGAAAGAGGAATTATTCAGTATACCGGATGTACCACGTCATATACACCCGTTTAATAAGATTATACTATTTAAATATTTTGTCTATATCAGCCTTTCACTTTTATTTTTATCTTTCTTAATAAGTATTCAATGCAAATACCTATTAAAAAAGAGAAAAATAAAAGTGAAAAGCCGACATAGACAAAATGTTCAAATAGTACAATCTTATTAGACGAGTGTATCATATAAATAATATAACGTGGTACACCCGATGTACTGAATAATTCTTCCTCCCCAAGTTGAAACAGTGGTCGATGAAAATACCTGATTATAACAATTCCTTGCACGAGGCGGCTCACATTGCGCTTCGAAATGCATTAATTGATCATTTGTGGGAAGAGTACTAATTCGGGGATAATAATTCACACACTTAAATCACATTTGGAGATTTTTATTTTTTATTATTAAATGTAATGGTTAGTTGTCAAATTTTTTAGTTGATGTAAATTCGTGTTTCATTAATATTATTAATTTATGATTTTTTACTAGTTGGTTAATAATAAATTTATTTATTACATTAATATGTAAGTACTATACATGTGTATAATTGGTTAAAAATAGATTAATCGTTGGGAATTAGTAAAAAAAAATATAAAAAGGAATATATTAGGAATATTCCTTCTAAGACATGTTTGATAGCTTGTATTGTATTATATAGGATGTATTGTATTGTAATGTAATATCATAATACAACACGGTATTTGGTGTCATGACTTATTATATAAGGGGTTAAAATGTAAAATTTTAAAAATTTTGGGATCAAAATATAATTTTTTAAAAGTTTTAGGGGTCAATGAAATTTTATAAACTTTTATGGTCAAAATGTAATTTTATAACAGTTGAGGGGTTCAATTTAATTTTGTAAAATTGAGGGGTAAAAATATAATTTTAAAAAATATAAATTTGTATTATGCCCCCTCAATTTTTAAGCAATTATTGGCTCCAGCATGACTCTGTGTCGGCTCGACCCCGATCCCTAATCGTGCTAACCCCGTCATGAATCATAGATCCGCTATAAAATAATACAATACAATATGTAAAAGATGAACTATATTCAATAATACGACATAGACCGTATAAATTTATCATCCGTATTAGTTTATACAATACGATAATCACACAAACATTGTATAAAAATATAATTATAGAATACGGTATTCTAATACGGTCAAACAGACATACCCTTAGAGTAAAGTTTGGAAGGGATGTGTAAACCAACCAAACCGCTTATTTTGATGAAATGCAAACCAAACCAATTACAAATTGGTTTAAACATTTTCATACCAAACCAAACCAAGTCAATTAAGGGATCTAATTCAATTCAAACTAAACCAATTGTAATTGGTTTAATTTGGTTTTTCTAATTGGCAGACCTTGTCAAGACTAAACAGTAACCGGTACTAATATTTTGCATAGTAGACATTTTGTTATATAATTTATAGTAGGAACTTCTAGGGGTAGGATTGTTCCTCTTCAAACAAAGGAACAAACTCTTCTTTATGCTCCAACTTCCTTTTCAAAATGGTCAGCCTGGAAGACGAGCTATTATTATTTAAATTTGAAATAAACGTATTTTTAAAAAAATATAAATATATAAAATATATATAATTTTTTTGAAAAATATAAATAAATTGAATTGGTTTAGTTTGGTTTTGTTTTGTTTTGTTTTTTTAAGGGTAAAACCACAAATTTTTTAAACTAAACCAAACCGATTATTAATTGGTTTGGCTTGATTTTCTTTTGGTTTGGTCTAGTTGGTTTAAATGGTTTAAATAGTTTGTTGCACACCCTTAAAGTTTGGAGTAAATGGATTGGAGACGAATTTCTTGGGTGACACGTAATTACTTTATTTATTTATTTAAGATAGAGTAACTCTACAATGGAGTAATAAGTTGGAGATGCCTAAGGTGAGAAAAGTTAGTACTACTCAAAATCTTCTGACCAAATAAATTCTCGAAACAATGTAAGCCTAAGGTGAGAAAAGTTAGTACTACTCAAAATCTTCTGACCAAATTAATTCTCGAAAGAATGTAATTTTACACGGTAAGAGTAGCAAGTAAATCCTATATCACATGTAAGCTAATGAACATTTTCCTTTGAAACATGACAGATACAAGTTTCCAGGATAACAGATCAAATAAATATTGAATTCCTTCGACTTACTGATAGAGCGAAGCATCTACCGCAGAAAAAAATGGACAATAGCACTCAAGTAGTCAGCTAACTGAAAAGAAAAATAATAAAGATTATATGTCTATCAACTTAATAGGATAGGAATTAAAAGCTCTAGTGTTTGAGAAGAATAAAAACGCAAGAAGAAGAAAGAAAATAAACAGAGCGTCACTATTGTCAGAGGAAAAGGCACAAGATACAATGCACACTGAAATGCCTCTCTCTCTCTCTCTACTGCTTTGAGTTTGTTGGTAGGAGAGAAAAGTGGGAGTGGGGAGAGGGGTGAGAGGATTAGTAGAAGGATTTTGGTACTCATAGTTGTTTGGTACAAGAGAAAAGCGGATGGAATGGATTAGGCAAGGGATTTCAAATCCTTAATAGAACCCCAATTAGAATCTCTCCAAAAATGAAAAGAGTAAATGAGGGAATTTGTAATTGTAACACAATATGAGAATGGTCCTCTCATTCCTCTCCATTTCCTCACCAGGATTATATAACTTTCTTTCCCTCTTACCATCTAAAAGTCCATTACTAATCACGAGAATTAGGCCGAACTGTGGTTGGCAGGAAAAGTGCATAATATAACTAGGCTTAACACAACTCAACACAACATACCGAATAGCCAGTATCAAGCTAAATGGCAAAGATCAGTTCTTCCACTAATGAAATGTCGATTTGTATATGCAATTCATAGAAATGGATGAAACAAACTTAACCTGAGTTAGAATAGGCTTTCCAGTGTGACCTTCAATGACTAAGCCTGCCGTTAGGCCAATCATAGCCCATGCTCCATTTATTGCTTCAATTTGACGTTGTCTCTGAAATTAGAACAGCAAAATTTATTGGTAATCTCGATTATTATGCTTAGAGTTTTAGTAACCGTATGCTTTGAGCTTCAACTCACTAAAACATTATTGCATGTGGAAGTTAAAGAACAGTTTAAAAAAAAATGAACGAAGAAAGAATTGTGTAACAAGGACTATACATCAAGGAACCGGGCCAACCTCTTCTTCCGTGGAAGATCGAAACATGTGATAATATGGAAAAGATGGAACTTGGAAGATAGAAAATTAAGTAAAAATCTCAAGGAATTTCTTAGGAAATTCAGGGGAAGCTTAATTGCTGTTCTTCCAATGATAAACAAAAAATTAGCCAACACTGAACATTTTTGGTGATCTTAGTTGTCTTAAAAACCAGGCAATTTCTCTGACCTTGAACTTTTCTCTTGCCTTTATTTGTTGCATTTGTTTGGCAGCTAATCGCTTGGCCTCCAAAGGATCAACCATGATCACCTGGTTATTAAAGCTTTTCTTCCCTGGAGATGCCTGTACCAAGGCACAATAACAATTATTATACCTCCATTTGAAAAGTCGCTGATAAAAATATAAATGATTCGGTGAACGTCTTCTTTAGGCACTGAAGTTAATTGAACTATGAAGCAGAAAAAGAATTCAGCAATGGAGACAAATTTCCACCGATTTAGCTTTAAGTTACCAACAATTAGGAAGTACAAGACAACAGGAATAAGAGATAAAAGATTGAAATTTTCAATCTTCTTCCTCGCTTAAAGACTAATGATTAAATGTTGGCGATAGCTACCGGTTTCTTTTCGTATTGTTAGTAGCAAGGCCTAGCTTGAAAGAACATGTTAATGCCACTTCATGCATTCTCTCAAAACCTTGAAACTTTCTACGAAATTAAGAGTTGGTAACCTACCTATTCCCATTCCTTGAACATACAACTAGACGCCAATAGTGAGACCGTAGTTTTTGTTTATATTTGTCGACCTTATTGTTTGAATATACTATATGCATAATCTTTTCTTGGGAAGCAATATCAGTAGAAGATATACATGATCAGATTATACCAGAAATTAGCATTTTCTCCTCCAGGTGAGTCAATTCATGCCAGAAGTTAGCATTTTCCCCTAAACTAAGTTTGAATCTGTCTTTGAGGCTGCCCTTCCCCAAAAACATTCTCCAGCAGAGTATTTTGATTGACAGAGTATTTTGGTTAGCACTAGACGCAGAGTGCAGCTATAGATTAGAATGATATTTCAAATGCTTAAATTTTCTGGCAGTGGATTACATTAACCAAAACACGCACGCAATTCCAATACAAGGTATCTTTTGTAAAGGTTGTTATTCTACCAGCATTAAAGCAGAAGCATCTGATTCTAGAGACAAAATGTTTTACTACCACTAAGCACTCCTTGACTTAACAGCCAATCACATACCTAAGAAATTCTTTGACCCTATTCAAACCAATAATATTGGCATAATATATGTGGAAGCCTTGGTTTGATGCATACATTGGGAGTAGCTGATATTTGAAATGATTGACCCCTGGTTCTGTAGGAAACTGTGTTTGCATTTTGGTATCTTCTCCAACCCCACCTGAAAACCACACAAAAAAAGTAAAATAAAAATATTGAAGAACTAAAGGAGAAAAAAAAGGTCATGCTAACCGATCCCCATTAACTTTTAGATCAAATTACAAATAATCAGTAACATAAGAACTGCGCTCATTTAAGAAAGTTCTCATTTTGCCAACTTTCCTGAATTGCCAAGGCCTGTCAATGGTTCACAATTTGAAGAATTCTGTGGCAGGATATGAAAAACAGGCTTATCAATAGAACACATTCTAGAACAGCCACATCATATCAAAATCATATTGGATTGAGAAAACTAACGATTCACCAAAACATGACAAAGATTTTATGGTTCATACCTGTGCCTTACCGGTAAGGTACTTTCTTTGTACCCTACCGCAGAATTCTTATCTCAACTTCTACAATCCAAAAATTTCAGTCAAAATAAGGAAACTCAATTGACTTCTATGAAAATACAGAGGGTTTTTTGACTATCAGAGCAAGGAGAGCTTCTTTCCAGCTCAATTATATCCTCCATTTTTTCTACGACTCTTTCTCCAGTAAGTCTCCCTACTAGTAGTATACGTTGACCATTAGATTTGTCAAGATCACATCAGAATAAAGTACACAGACCAGCCAGCATCTTATATTAGATCTAAGGGTCGAAAATAGAGTCCTACCAGTAGTTTATTTTTTCAGTGCCTACCAGAGAAATCCCCCTTTTGTTACAAAACAACTTCAAAACAGACTATAAAGTATAAACCCGGAACCGAAATTTATTAATAGCCATCTCTTGGATTTCTTTTTCCCAACTATAATCACGCTGAAATAACATGTAATGTGAAAATCCAATACACCGGATTAAATGGTGAAGTGGGGAGGTGGGATTAAGGACTGAAGTCAGCTTCAAAATTTTTTATTCTCTTAGCAGCCAAGCAGAGAGCCAATAATTTCAAGAAACTATCAGAATTATCATATTTTTAGAGTAAATAAGAAGTGGCTATGTATAATTAAGCATTTAATCAAGAAAAAAAAAACAGAGAGAAAATGAAGTGGGCATAGATGAATAATTTTTTATTCTCTTTGCAGCCAAGCAGAGAGCCAATAATTTCAAGAAACTATCAGAATTATCATAGTAAATAAGAAGTGGGTATGTATAATTAAGCATTTAATCAAGAAAAAAAAAAAAACCCCACATGTATACTAGAGTTAAAATGAAGTGGGCATAGATGAATACAGATCGTACTTACTTCAATATAGTTGAAGAGCGATGATGAATGGGAAAAGAGGAGCATTGGGAGGAGGAAAGAGAGCCACCATAGTTGGGTAACAGAGGTGTGGACGCCATCGCTGGACTCCACTGCATTCCCTTAACGTGTTCTGTTCCCTATCCGTATCTACTATTTATTTTATGAGTAATTTTTTTGCTAATCTATTTATTTTACTTGTTCTATTTATTTTATGAGTAATTTGCACGGTCGTCCTTTAACTCTTCGATAGGTTATACTTCGGTCTATTTTTTTTTTTTTAATTTTGACATAGATGATCCCTAAACTCTCAAAAGATTGGCAATTAAACTTTTTCTGTTCATTTCTGTAAGTTTCTAACAAATTAAATTATGTACAAAGTATAAACAAAACAAGAAACAAAATTATATATATGAAATCGTGACCTTTGTAAAAATGACTTAATAGGAAAATTTTATTAGTATAATAATTTTTTTTAAAAATTTTTATTTACAAAATGACTACGAAACTATCAGGAACGATCACTTTTTACAAAAAAATGATCAGGTAGTCGTTCTTCATAAAAAATAAAGAATGTCATTTTGCCAATTTCAATTTGTTAAATAGTCACTCTAACAACTTTCTACAGAAGGAGAAGAGTTGAAAGAGATAGAGATAAAGAGTGAAGTGCTGGCGAGGAGGGACGGGTGGAATTCATGACGGCTGAGGTGGACCCATCAATATTGCTATTTCAACTAGTTGGCTGAGGAGCACTTAGGTTGCATTTGGTAGTGATTTTTGGAGCCCAAAATCAATTATCTAGCCAACTACAGTTGAAATTTGTGTTTAGTAAAAACTATAAAAAGTGATTCTTAAAGAATTTTTTGAAGAATTTACAACCAAAATCAGAAGTAGCCCAAAGACAGCTTCCACTTTTAGATTGTGCGGCAATCTCTTTGCTACAATTAATGAAACTTTCTAAAATACCCATATTACCCATGCTAAAATCTAAAAATCCCATACCCAAAATTTTTTTCTCTGCGTCTATCCATTTCTCTCTCTTCTCTCTTTGTTCTCTCGGTCTCCCTCTCTCTCTCTTCGCCCACTCTCTCTCTCCGTTTTTCTCTCTTCTCTCTCTCTGTTCTCTCGATCTCCTTAACTGTGCTCGTTAGGGTTTCCAATCTCCTCCTGCGATTGTCGGATTGGTGGACTCTCTCCTCTTTCACTGTTCTCTCAGTTAGACAGGGTCTGTGCTAGTTAGGGTTTCCCGATCTGGTTGTTCGATTGTGGGATTGCCGGTTGGAGCTCATTAGATAAAGACTATCGCTTCTATAAGTACTCGATTGATCTTCGTTTGTCTCGATTTAGTTCTATTTTCACCGGAAATTGAAGTTCTGTTTTTAATGAACTTTTTTGCTCTCGATTCGTTTATCTTGATTTGGTTTTGTTTTTACCAGAATTTCGGATTGCTTTAATAGTAAATTCTTCTCCCTTATTCCACCCCCATTTTGCAGCACCCTATTTTTAACTCTTAATCACTTGAACATTTCATTGATGAATTGTAAGACCCATTTTTTTTCTAAACCAACAAAATTATTAGAAATAGACGTTAGGAATTAACTTGAATAATGCTATGGTGTTATATTTAGTGAATTCTAACATCACAATGAGTTCAATTCCGCAGGTGATCGCGACGAGGACTCGAGGTGCTAAGAACAAGTTCATGCCATTATATGAAAATTTGATGTGATTTCATATTTATTCTTATGATTTAATGAATTTGTATAATGTTATGATTTGATAATATGTCTCTTTTTATATGACATATGTACATGATTTATTTTGTGTGTTACTTTGTGGTTTATATGATATGTGATATAGTATTTTAATAGGAGTTAAAGAAAGTAAATAAATATAAATTTATACAGTTTGATGTGCCATTAATTATACCCACAAATACCTCCATTAGTCCTATATTATACTAGGAAACAAATCACAATTACTGCCTATACTTTGGCCAAATTACAATAGGAAGTTTATCCTCATAAATGTACAGTAAGAAGAAAAAAAAAGGTCAAGTTCACGACTATACATTCTTTTGCCTATTATATACCTTAGCTATACGCACATAGTCAAAGGAATGGGAGAGTAATCATAGTGCAATATGTTCTAGAATTCATTATTTCAGTGACAGCCGTAGTCCCCAATGCACGCCTGTAATATTCAAGAAGATTCCAAAAATGGTTTTGGAATTATTTCTCATAATTTTCTTACGTGTTGACCAAAAAAAAAAAAAGAATTTCGATATATATATATATATATATATTTTTAGAACCCTCATTCTATATCCTCTCAGTTGCCTTGCTTCTCTCTTTATCGATATATTTTCTTCTCTCTCTCCCTTCCTCTTTTCTCACGTTCTTGAACACCACAAGAGAACTTTTATTTTATCAGCCACCAAACACATTTTCTCTTAATCCTTTTTGAAGTCATCAATCACTCAAGATAAAATTTGGAGATTGTTAAGGTACGATTCTAAATTATTGATTCTATGATTTTGAGTGTAGATTTCTATTAGACTCTATATTAGTCATAGTAATTCTTTGATTGTTTTGTTGTGTATCTTCATAGAAAGCATGCTATAAAGGTTGGCCATTTTGATAATTGAATTAATAATGGAATTATTGGTTTTTGTACAACCTAGAAACATGCAAAGGATTTATTTATGATCATTTATATGATTGGCTCACGTGATTCTTTTAATCATCATTTTATAGGTATAAGATGTATATATATGTACGTATTTATATTTCTTTAAGTATTAGAAACATGTTATAGGGCTGAATAATAAATGGAGTGCTGTTTATACATGTTGAGGATGATGGTTTTGTATTTTATAGATTTTTTGGTGAATTTTTGTCCTAGTTTAAGTACTGGAATTTCTCCAGGTTTCATGTCTGATTTTAAAACAGAGTTTCAGGGACCAAACGAACTCCGTTTTTAGCAAATTAGATACCGTTGTAAAGCTCTAGATGTCTACTTTAATTTAAAATTATTTCAGGTCATTTGGAACTCTTATGTGAATTGTTATGAGTTTTTAAAGGAGTAAAGGTCACGCTGCCAGTTTTTGTTAAGTTTTGTAATTGTGTAATCAGTGGGTTTTTATGTCTTGATGTTAATGAATGGTGAGAATGATATATTAGACACTGTTTTAACGTGATTAATGTATTTGATGAGTTGTTAAAGCTTTTTAGTAATCTTATTTATGATTTATGGCATGAGCGGTTCTAGAGGCGAGCACCCGATGACCTCATTCGTCGCGTCACCGTTGCGAAATTTAAAAAGGTTAAGTAAGACGCTCAAGTAAGTACACTCTCACCTGCAATATGAATTGAAAAATTGAGAAGTATATGATTTTGATGTTTATGATGATGTTATGACACCTTTAATATTTCTCATATGATGACGTTTTGAAGAAAAATGTATATATCTATTTTTATGCTTTGAAATAGCGTTATACACCCTTGATGGTGACCGGTGAGCGGTCTTATTGCCACGGTTAGTATGAGATTTACTACCCCATGCTTTATGTGACTAGCATGCTATGATGGTACAACGTCGGGCCCAACATATGATGGATTTTAAAGTTTAAATATGTTCAAAAATAATTATTCTTATGATGATGTTTATTGTTGATGAATAAAAATGTTCATTTAAATTTGTGAGAATTAAGTGTCTTACTAAGCCCTTGCTTATATAACTTATTTCATGTTGCAGCAATCTAAAGGGTAAGATGTAGCCATGGAGAATCTTGGAGCGGATGCGAGCGGTGCGTGATAGGAAAACGGGAGAAACGATCATGGAATGAAAGTGCTTAATGTTAAACAAAGTTTTTAAATTTTTATTTTTATTGTTTTGGAATTTTGGTTTATGGTGGTTTTAATACATTTTGTTTTAATTTTATTTTACGGTATGGATTTTAGCCCTTATCCCATTCCTTCGGAATGGCGGGCCTAAAACGCGTTACTTATTATAAGGTCGGCCCTTATCCCTCGGAATGGTGGGCCGTTAATATAAGGAGTGTCGTCCCTTTATTTCATTCTTTCGGAATGGCGGGATGAGGGAGGATGGTAAGGTCGGTCCTTACTCCATTCCTTCGGAATGGCGGGCCGAGGAAAAGGATAAGGTCTTCCCGTTAAATGAGTTGAATCTAAAGATTATTTTTCTTTGAGGAGGTTTAAAATTTTTAAAGTTATAATATGAAAAAAAAAATTAAGATTTCTTCAAGTCATTCAAAGTGTTTCAAGCTTAATTATTTTTCATATTTTTTTTAGAAGTAAAAATTTAAAAGTTAAGATAACTATGACGGCCATGAAGGGTCGTTACATGAATTTCTATCTAAATATCTCTCGCTCAGACAAGCAATTTTGATAAAGCATTTTAAATTTCATTTACTAGTCGTCGTCGTCATCATCATCATCACTACTATTTAAGCAGGCTCAATGTATGAACTACTCAGTTAGAAATCTCGCAGACCTTTCACAGTCTCTTGATTTGGTTCTGTTTTCACCGGAATTTTTTTCTCTCGATTCGTTTCTCTCAATTTGCTTTACTGTAGGGGACAGTTTGATATGTTTTTTTTGTTTTTGTTTAATCTGTGTGTTTTTAGATTTGTAACATTGATTAGTGGAAAGCATTGTACCATAGAATTTTATCCGTGGAAAGTTTTCCAAACCCAGCTGAATTTGGGGAAAACTTTCTGAGTGTTGCTGCCTCTTGATATTCATTGTTGCTGCAAATTAATCAGCAATTACCATTGAAAGATGCATCTTTATTTGAAATCTGAAACTTGGTTAATTTGAGAAATTTGCATCTTTATTTTCATGGTAATTGAAAGGTAATCTCAAACTTGGATGCCTTTCAATAAACTTGGTGTCATTCATCATCAATTGCAAACTTGGTTGCCTTTCAAATTTCAATGGTTAAACTCAAATTTTTGTAAATTGCTTTCAAACGGTTTTACCGGTACATATATTTAGTGTTTGTTATGAATTTGGTGTTTGTTTTAAAATTGGTGTTTGTTATGATGATCCTATCCGAATGTGGTGTTTGTTATGATGAACCTATCCAAATAAAAGGAGAAATGAATGCAATATTGATAAGAAAAATGCAAATTTAGTGTTTGTTACGTGGAAAGTGATTAAATTATTATGCATGCCATACGCATTTCAGATGACATCAATGTTTGTGCAATGCCATTGAAGTTTGTTTGTGCAATGCCATCAATGTTTGTGCAATGCCAGTGTTTGTTTGTTCACTAAGGAGAGGGTACTACACCACAAGGTAAAGTAATGTGGGACTCTGAGACTGTAGATCGTTTTTGTGATTTGTGTATCAAAGAGGCAGAAGATGGACACCGTCCTAGAACTCATCTTGATAGAGTTGGATGGGAAAATTTAATTCAAAAATTTAATAAAGCAACCAAAAGAGTATATAAAAGACAACAATTGAAGAATAAGTGGGATGCTTTGAAGAATGATTGGAAGCTTTGGAAGGAACTTATTGGGAAGGAAACTGATTTAGGTTGGAACATTAAGAAGAATACTATTTATGCATCTGAGTGGTGGAATACTAAATTGCAGGTATACATAATAAAGTTGTTCATTTTTTTTAGTTTATTGTTGGAACTTGATTTTTAATTTATTCAAGAACTCTTGCAGATTCATCCTAACGCAGCGAAGTTTCTCACTCGGGTCTTAAGCAGCTACTCTCCTGGGTCTTAGCTGCACCGAGTCTAGAGGCATAAAAAAAGACAAACATGGTTGGGGGTGCACGTAGTTATGTGATGATAATCAACAATGGATGTAAAATTGTACCAAAAACTGTACATACAGAACAAAAAGATGAAATCATATCAATTTTTTAATAAAGGGGAAAAATAACATGAAGAGTAATGGTGTAAAAGGTTGAATACAAGTACAATCGTTGATAGACTATCTGCTATAGGCATCTGCACGAGCTGACTGCTGTTTTCCTCGAGAATTCTCTTCTTGCAAGTTGGATGGCCATCTGATACTAGGCAAATTAAGGATAAAGCCTTTTATTATGCTACTCATCTTCACATACCTTTTACCATATTTACATGTTCCCCCTTCCAATAAGAAAGCATTTTCAAGTTTATCCAAAACGGCATGGCCATTGTTAAGCTCTTCTTCCCTGTTCTTACCATCGATCAACCCCGCATCGACAAAATTCTCTATCAACATCTCTCGATCGATTTTAAATTCTTCAGGATAGAATGCACAATACAATAAGCATTGTTGCACATTTGGATCTTTAAACTTCTCATAACAATATCTCAATACACGATATTCTTCACTAATTGTTATGCCGTTTTGCAGTACTTTCTTTTGCTTTATTCTTTCCAATGCATACCTCCACTCACCAAAGTCACCCACTCCCTTCATGTTTGCGGCCATTGTAACAATTGCAAGTGGCGAACCCGAACACTCTTTTACAATAGCCATTGCAATTTGTTCAATTAAAGGAGGAAGCACCATGGCAGGACCAATATTCTCCATAAATAATTCCCAACCTTCTTCGTTAGAAAGGCGATTCATTAGAATCTCTCCCTGGCAATTCATCCGGTGACACACGCCCACATTTCGGGTCATAAATACTAACTTGCATCCATTAGGAATTCCCACATCTTGTAGAGGAATGTATGTCCACACATTATCCAACATGAGCACAATGTTCTTTTCTTCCAAGGCCCTCTTGAGTTTTTCTTTCCATTTTTCCTTGTCGTCCTCGTCCCAAAGATCTAAGTTTACTGTTCTCGCAATGTCATCTTGCAAATTATGAATGGCAAAATTTTGTGATACGGTAACCCAAGAAACAAAATATTTCGCATGATTTCGAAGTTGGTCTTGTATGTGTGTAGCCAAAGTGGTCTTACCAACTCCCTCCATTCCATATATGCCAATGATTGAGATGGTAGGATCATCTAACCACTTCAAAACCATTTCAGTGGTACTTGTTCTCTCTCTCTCCGAGGACCTTGTAATCACAATATTTGGTGCCGATGATTTATCGCCGCTGCTCGTGGGGCCCGTGAGGTGCTGGACAAAGGCACTAAATTCTCCGGGCGTGCATTGGAAGATTTTGGAAGTGGCCCTTCTTTTAGGCTCCTTGCCCTGCTGAAGTTGATCCCGAAAATTGGGAGAGTCTTTGTCACCCGACAGCGGAGGTTCCATGGTTGGTTTGTCTGAATGGTGGTGGTGATGATAATGAAGAGGAAGGAGGCTAGTGAGTAGTGATGGATGATTATTGGAGGATAAGGTTTTTACGAAGTTAGGAGACGTTTGGTTCATGGATTAAAATTATGTGATTAAAATTATTTTTGATTTATGTATATTTTTTATGAGAGAAAATATTATAAAAAATCATGAATTATGATTCAAATCATGGTTTAAATCTTCTAATTAAACACCCCTTAAAGATTCACGGGATCTTCACCTTTTTAATTTTTCATCAAGTCCATATTGGCGGCTAGTGGTGGGACTCGTTGTATTACAAAAATATCTACGGTGATTTTTATTTATTTATCTTTTTGAGACTTTCTCTAGCATCTCTACTCATAAGACTAATTTATGACCGTTTTATTTTATTAAAATCACATTAAATTAAAAAAATATATAAAATAAATAATTTTTAATATAAATTTAATAATTAAAAGTAAAAAACTACCATAAATTTATATTTTCTTATCATATCACAAAAACTCTTTTATTTTTTTAAACTAACACAACTCAGTTATGGTGAGCTATGCGCGTAATTAGTGAAGAATGAAAATGAGATGTGTGATAAAGTTGTGTACAATTCCACCCAAAAAATAAACGAATGAATAAAAATATATATTGTTTACAATTAACGAAGAAAATATAATAAGCGACAAGCAACTATATACTATATGCATAGCCAAGTATGATAATGTACTGATCTAGCTAGTAGAATAGTAGCACGCCAAGTTTGACTTCTAGATAGTAATAAATGATTTTTTCTTAATAACACTTGACTATTGAGAATTGATTGATCTTAACTTCTTATTTTGACAATGTAGTACTTGCACTGACTAACATATGGTAATGTTATTACAAAAGTTAACGATAATCAATCTCATCTTTCATCTCTCGGAGCCTCAATTTCTCTCTCCTCTTTCTCTCAATCACAGAATTCTCCCTCATAAGAAAGATCTTAGTCTAAAAGAGTACTTTTTTTAAGGTATTATGATGGAGTACTTTGCTTATGCGCAGATTGTGGTGTGTATTTTTAGTACCCTAAATTTTAGCGTCTTATTATGTAAATATGAGAATGCAAAAGAAGATCAATAAGCATTGTCACAGCTGGACCAGAGGGCCGTGATTGCTATTGCATCAATGAGCCAAATCTTCTTCATGTAAAACCAAAAATCGATCTAAAAATTGACATTTTTATGAGTCCATATGAACGGAAAAAGAGAGTTTTCATGGCCAAAAACTCAGCGTATCGCCGAACTTCTGGCCACCAAAGTTTATCTTGAAGCTCATCTTCGAATGCTTAGCTTAGAGTGGAGTTTGTATCATTCGCAAAGGAGGACTACTGCCGGGTCGAATCTAAAGTAGGGATGTGATCGTCGTTAGACTTGAGAAGTGTTTAAACACATTGGTCTTCGTCTCGACCTACCCTGCGGGGTTTGTGATATGCGAGAGAAGTTGAGTCATCTTATAGTGCATGCCAGTTATCGTCTATGTGTGTTTAACAACCACTCATTTTTTCTACAGTTTTGTTTCGCTAGTGTTAAGGGGCTTTGCTCTCAGTTGTTTTTTGATGTTCTAGCTTGTGGGTTTTTCATTTTTCATTGTAATAACGGCCCGATTAGTATAGATTATTGTTTTTTCATCCGCAAGATATATTTCTTTACTGTTTTTGTCTAGCCTTTGAGCTATGGGTTTCTCAACATCGATTAATCAGATTGTTTCCATTGACTGCAGAGGATCTAGTAAAGAGCCATATATTTACTCAATTTTTTGTATTTCTCTTTGGGTGATTTGCGTTTGTGGACTCCAGTACACACTATTTGAGTTTACCGATGAAAATGGTTATCTGTGGTGTTGTGTTTCTTATAATAAGGGCCATGTGTGTGAATTGGTTGTTGTAATGCCTTTTCATATTTTAGAATATATTATCCATTTAATATATTATTTATATGTATATATGCGCAAAAAATGCAGTACGTATTACATAACATGATCATAAGAAAGTATCGTAATGAAGCGCATAATGGGAATATACCAGCCAAGAAATACTACAATAATATGGTAACAGAAACTCAGAGAAACATATACATATAGATATACATATATACATATGTATGTATATATGTATTTATATATTTTTATATATAATTGAAGAGGAACTTGCGATTTGTATTCTAGTTCATGAAGAGGTTTCATGGCAAATGTGCAATAAGGAAACTGATCATGAGTAACTCCGGAAAATAAAACAAAAACACCCTTATTAAAAAACTTGACCGGTAAAGCTCAAATACCAAAAACCCAAACAGCGAAAAAAAGTGCATGATTATTGCCCCTATTCGAAGGCTGGAGGCATCGCGAGCAATTAAAGAATTCACGAACTCCGGGGAGGAACGCCATCAAAGAGAACTGCATATGCAAAAGCATGTCATCCACTTGTTTACATTGTTCAAAACTGTATGAAACTGTACAGACAATATGGTAAATTGGACTTAACATAGTGTATGATTAAATATGAGAGCTTTACCATAGATAAGATATCTGGGCAATTTATCACCATTCCTCGGAAAAGTCGCAGAAAGGTTGAAGAACATCTTTAACACTAGGCTGTTGCCACTCCAGCATGTCCCACCACATTTTCTGCACTTGAATCTTCCGAAGACAATGGGGACGATATGGTTCTTCCCTAAGAAGAGGTAACCTTTGTAGCTGTGGACAGTCTTTTATCTTGATGCATTCCAAAGCATTGGAAAACACATGCTTCCCAGTGTTGCTGAAGTCCCTCAGTTCTGGAAGGCGCCTCAATGCTATTTCCCTTAATTTGGGAAGAGTTACAACGGCGGAACTTGTCGCTTCATGATCTTCGCCTTCAGCAGCTGCTTCAACTATTTCTGTTATCCGCTCACAAAACTCAATGCTCAATACTTCCAAGTTTTGGAGGTTCAGAAGTAAGGCAGGTGGAAATATTCTCTTCACATTTGGACAACCAAAGATTGAGAATTCTTTGAGATTGGAGAAAGTGCCAGTCGGGACTGCTGGTGAATGAATTGCACCTCTCCCTCTCCTAGCCAAAACTCTCAAGTTCATCAAATTTTTTAGGCACAGGGATTCAAGACTTTGAAAAGGAGGAAGACTGTAAGATGAACTGTAAAGTACTTGTTCCACTCCATCACACCAATCAATAAGGCACTTCTTCAAATGTTTTGCCCTCTTAAAGGATGCAACAGCACACAAACTTGGTGTATCATTGCAACGTTTAATATGTAAAACTTGAATGTCTTTAGGGAGCACAAGAGAGTCGCCTCTGTTTTCGCTTTGCCTTATGCTGCAAAGTCTCAAAGATACGGCTTTATCATACGCATTGACACAGTCCTTGAACAACTTGGACTTAAAGTCTGGTCCCTCCAAAACCACTTGAACAAGGTACTTATCAGGGCCTCCTCCTCCTTGAGACCTTACGTATGTGCTCAAGTTCTTAATGTCGTAAAATTGGCCTTTAAAAGTTTCCAGCTCTCTTAAATTTGCGACCTCCTCTCCTTTCAAGTGTGATGTGTATGATTCAAACTCATGAACGACAAGGTACTGGAGATGAGATAGTTTCGCTAAAACTCCCTCAGGTATTCTCTTTAAGGTTCTTGTGTCAAGGTTAAGGTATCTCAAGTTGACCAATGAGACTATGCCTTGAGGTAATTCTGTGAGTCCTGTTTTCTGCAAGTCCAACCTTCTCAAGTTTTTGAAATTCACGAACGAGGGAACATTTTTCAATCTCCAACATCCTCTAAGCAATAGGCTACTCAGAGATCCTAAATCAGATACTGAATTAGGAAGATTTTCAATTGATGTGTCTGATAAATCGAGAACCGTGAGCCGTTTCATATGCGAAAAGAAGCAATCAGGAATACCATTAAGTTGAAAATTTTGGCACAGCAGCAACGTAACCACGTTTGGAGACCTTGGTGATGCAGCAGAAGAAATATTTGATATTCTATTGCACATCAAAGAGACTCGTACAAGATTCTCTTTCCACTTTTCATCTTTTGGTATCTCTTTTAAACTCACTCCAGCTTGTACCAAAAACAAGGGACTTGTACTTGCAATTTGAATGGCCATGTCCCTTACCAAATCATGCATTTTGACAAACCTTTTTCCATCATCGTCCCTTCCACCTTCCAGTAAGCAAGCTTTTTCAAGTTTGTTCAATATTGTGTGACCTCTATTAAACTCTGCTTGCCTACTATTCATCCCATCAATCAACCTTTCATCAATAAAGTGCTCTATCAACATTTCTCTATCAATTTTGAAGTCTTCAGGATATAGGGAGCAATATAAAAAACATTGTTGCAGTTTTGGATCATTCAACATTTCGTAGCTATATTTCAACACACGAAATACCTTTTCCATGTCATCTTGGCCAATTCTTGATTCTTCCAAATTGTCAAGCATATTACGCCATTCGCATATGTCGTCCACTCCTTTCATACTTCGTGCCATTATGTTAATCCCAAGTGGCAAACCAGCACATTCCTTCACCACACTCATTGCAATTTTTTCGATCTGAGGTGGAAGAGTAGACTCACCCCCAAGTTTCTTCACAAATAATTCCCAGGCTTCTTCATCTGAAAGGGGCTTCACTTTGACTTCTACTTCACAATCCATCTTCCAACACACATCCAATAATCGAGTTGTCAAAATCAACTTACATCCATTTACACCAACATGAATTCCCACCTCATCCGGGGAAAAATCTTGCCACACATCGTCTAAAATGAAAACAAAGTTCCTCTTTCTTTCCAAGGCCGATGCTAGAATTGATGCACGTATTCTCTCATCATCCTCATTTGAAAGATCTAGATGCACCTTGTTTGCAATGATATCCTGCAATTTTAGAATGCTAAAACTTTGTGACATTGTTATCCAAAAAACAGAAATGGCTGGATGCCTTTGAAGTTGGTTGTGGATATGTAGGGCCAAGGTTGTTTTACCAACTCCCCCCATTCCATGGATGCCAATAATTGAGATGTCATCATTCATTAAGAACTTCTGAATCATATCCTTATTTCTTTGAAACATTTGACCAACCACTTCTGTTGTAAGCAATGAAATTTCTCGGCTCTCATCTGATTTAAGTGTCAGTCCATCATGAAATCTACTCTGTTGAATGAGTTCCGTGGCTTCAGTTATAAGTTCATCCGTGGTTTCCCGCAGTCCATAGCTGTACCATCTTGTTTCTTTGGATATCTTTGTCTACTTTCTGAAATGTGTTCTTTATTTTTGCAACATTTGTTAACCAATTGTCAACAACTTTCCTTCTCTTCAATTGTAATCGCTCCGCATATTCCAACTCTTTCTTTATATCTTCTTCTCTGCTTTCAAGTTGTTTCAGTTTCCTTTTCAGCCTATCCTCCTTTTTAGCTAGACGCTCAAAATTCATGCCTCGATCAACAAAGTCCCTCATGGTCTCCATATCTAGCTAGAACAAAATCAGTATCCAAGGTTCAATGAGAATCCTAGTTTGAAATAAGTAGTGCAACTCATAATCCAACTCTAAATTGGAGGAGAGGGAAAAAAAAAAAAATAGCTTTGCGGCTTTTTTGCTAAAGCAACTTTTATTATCAACAACACCCAATGGGCCAATACTTTGTTGCCCAAGAAGCAAACTTTTAGTTTTTTATTATTTATTTCTATGGGAAATCTCTTCATTACTAACCAATAAGATATAATACAAAAAATCCAACATGAAAACAAAACCTACTCAGACACAAGTAGCAGAAAACTAAAACATCTCATCATTTTTGACAAAACACCAGCTGATTTGGGTTGAACTTGAATCAATCGAAAGCAGACGCTATTGAGCTTTACTATTTATAATTTATTTATTTATTTTTTTGAAGGGGACAATTTATGTCTGTTCAAGTCTTCAAGAAAACATCATAGTTAAGCAACTACGTGATTTTGTACAGATATTTTCATTCTTCTTTTTCATTGTCCTAAATTTTGATCGTTGTAACTTCACTTAGCAACTGAGCACATATGAACGTGGTTGAGAGAAGCCATACATTCAAATGGTGATAAGAAAGTGGTTTGCTTACTGCACTTTTCAAAGTCTCTATCAATAAACTAGAAAATCTGACTAAACAATTAGGTTGTCCAGTCCAATAGTGTAAAATTAGGTGCACTATGTGAATCGTCAATCATGGCAAACGACCAACCAGAAAGAAAGCATAAATCATAGTAAAAGTGCGTCAAATCCAAAAGTGGTATGGATGCAAATACTGAGGAACTGCCATTTAATTCTTTTGTGTCCTTATGCAAATATCTGATACATATAATAACAGGCAGCTCCAAGTCCTCCAACATTATGCGCTGAAGTGACTTTACCAAATTGTCTTCAATGCCCTTGAAAGGAAAATTAGGACATTTTCGAAGGTTTATAATTCCTTCCATGGTTTATGCCAATCCTACTTTAGTTCCTGAATTTTAAAATGTTCCGAACTTAACCTCGATCCATCGGATAGTTTGTCATTTTTATCAAAAGACGGATGATAATAAGTTAGCAAAGTATTATTTTACATTGTTAGATCCGATGTTTCAGATGATGTTGGAACATTGTCTGGAATACGGCTTGATTAATTAAGATCCGGGTTTCTTACTATTCAAATTGTTCGAGTAGAATAAAGTGCAGAAATCAAAAGAACACACAATATGATATCGCAGTTTGGTGCGCACACCTACTCTGCGGGGCCACGCCAAGACAATAAACAGTTCACTATGTTTCAGAAATTACAGACACCGGACGGACTTATTCACTCGCCGCTGTGACGAATCTCCACAGTGATTTGTTTAGCGTACACCACACGTCTTTTAAACTGCACGGTGAACTCCCTTCGACCGAAAGAACTTCCTTCCGAAAGTAACAAATCTCTCTCCCGAAGGACGATCTCAATAGCACACTAGGCTAACAAAAACTCACAGACTCTTTCTGAAAATATTATATTAAACCCCCTTCAATTATGAGCTGCGATGAAACCTTAAATAAAGCTTCTCCCTGTTCTCTCCACGTTGTGCAACTTTTCAAATCAAACTAAAAACTAAATCTCCTTTTGAATCCACCTTATCCAAATCCGATTCAAATATTATATATACCCTTAACCATCTCCATATCAATGCCCATCAAAATCATTCACGCACAAATATATATATATATATATATATCCAAAGATAAACTTTGCTTGATCTCCACGTGCTATATTTCTCATTTATCTCTAAATTCACTTTTGTAGATAAAACTCTCTTTGAAATTCAAACCAAACCATAATATGCTTTATCTTCTCCAAATCTCAACCAATATCTTATCTGCAATCTTAAACTTCAAATCTGTTTCTGAATCTTCTTCTGCAATACGAAATTTTTTTGAACCTATTTTTTGAATTTTTACAAGATTGCCAATAAATTGTCAACTAATAAAAATACTTAACAATCTCCCCCTTTGACATTTTTTGGCAAAACTACCAAGAGATCCTAAAAAATTCAAAAACGTAAAAAATTATATTGTTCTCCCCCTTTTTGACAAAAATAAGCCAAAGACACAACGAAAAAAAATAAAAAATTCACACGTAGACACGTCTTTAGCAGCTGATGTCGCAGATCATGTTGTAACATTAGTTGGAACACTCGGTGCAACACTTTGCACTAGATATCTTCGAGGGCATTGATCTCTGTAGCTTACTCCCCTTGAATTTTTCCTGTGTCTTACTCCCCCTGAATGTAGCATTCTTCCATGTATAATGCTCTTAACACCTGTCAATCGCTTAGTGCAGCCACCATCACTACACCTACAATCATTAGTTCATGCTTCTAAAGAAGTATAAGCCTTATGACATCTCAAATCAGAATTCTTTACCCACACCCGTTTAGAAAAATTATTTTTCACATCAATCTTCACGTTAGGTGTCCTTTTTGAGTTTACGGAATTTAGTGGATTAATGAGCATACCTCTCTTCAAAGCATTTAAATACTTGTAGCATCTCGGTCTTATGTGGCCAGGTATATCGCAGTAATGGCATGTAGGGACAAACTTTCTATGTCGAGGGGATGAGATAGTAACCTTCTTACTGGATGAAGTCGGAGGCTTGGGAGCAGGCGTCTTCTTCACAAACACTGTTTTGGATGTTGAGCTCTCACCAATATAGCCAAGGCCATGTCGACCACCACTCGCTTTTTCTTTTGAGAGAATGTGATCCAATTTTGAGGTGCCCAAATTCATCATCTTCAATGACTTTTGAGTGTGCTCCAATTCACCTCTTGTCTCCTGCAGCTTTTTCTCCTTTTCAACAGCTCGAAATTCATAGTTTATAGCAGTACTCTTAAGTACATCATTCTCTTTAATAAGCTCATCGACTCGTTCCTGCAAAAACTTATTCATTTTAACCACCAAAACCCATTTATTGAACATGGTTTCATATGCCTACTGGATTGTTTCCTCAGTCAATTCTTCACCATCGCTGGAACTGTCAGAATCTGAAAAATTTTCATTTTCTTCTGGTTTTCCAGAGTGTGTTGCAGATGATGTTGCAGATGATGTTGCAACATGAGCTGTGACACGATCTGTAACACTGCCGTTTGGAACATCTTAGTAGACATTAAACGCAACATAGTTGTTCACATGATCATCATCTTCCTGGTTGCCTTCAGAATCTTCATCACTCCATGTGATGTTGAGAGACTTCTTCCTCTTTTTGAGAGTGTTAGCACACTCAGACTGAATGTGACTGTAACCGTTGCACTCCTAGCATTGAATTCTCATATTCTTCTTCTTATCATTAGAGGAATTTTTAGCTCTCTTATTTTTCTGAAAATTGTTGGAGTTGTTGAAAGTTGGAGTTTGATTCTTCTCATTGAACTTCTTCATCACCCTATTGAAAATTTTAGTCAATTGAGCAAGAGATTCCGCTAAGTCTTCATCTTCTTCTTCAACATTATCTTCCACTTCGGCTTGAAAAATAATCCCCCGAGAAATCTCTTTCTCCTTCTTATTTTGACTTAGATTCATTTCAAATGTCCTCAGTGATCCCATCAATTCATCAAGTCTCATAGTCTCAGTGTTTTTCGCCTCTTCAATAACAGTGACTTTGTAGGCGAATCTCTGTGATAAAGATCTCAACGTCTTGTTGACAAGTTTTGCTTCGGGAATTTTTTCACCAAGAGCAAAGGATTCATTAGCTATATCACACAACCGTGAATTAAATTCAGAAATAGTTTCACTTTCATGCATTCGAAGATTTTCAAACCTGGTTGTGAGAATATTCAGTTTGGATTGTCTGACGGTGGCAGTTCCCTCGTGAGCAATCTCCAAAATCTCCCATGATTCTTTTGCCGATTCACATGTAGATATCATCTTGAACTAGTTGATGTAAACTCCATTGAATATTGCATTGAGAGCACGAGAGTTGTAGATGGCCAACCTGTCTTCATCAGTACTCCAGGACTCTTTGGGTTTGAGTCACTTTTCCTTCTGCATCTTTAGTTACTGGATGTTTCCAGCCATTCAAAACAGCACGCTAGGCCTTCTCATCTTGAGCCTTGATGAAAGCCTTCATCTGGGCCTTCCAGTATGAATAATTCGAACCATTAAGTAGAGGGGGACGTACAACTGAACCTCCTTCCTTTAGAAAATCCATTCCAAACATAACAGATCAACTCTCCAAGATCTCACCGAACTTATGGTCAGTGAACCTCTCTGATACCACTTGTTAGATCTGATGTTACGTCTGATGTTCCAGATGATGTTGGAACATTGTCTGGAATACGGCTTGATTAATTAAGATCCGGGTTTCTTACTATTCAAATTGTTCGAGTAGAATAAAGTGCAGAAATCAAAAGAACACACAATATGATATCGTAGTTCGGTGCGCACACCTACTCTGCGGGGCCACGCCAAGACAATAAACAGCGGACTTATTCACTCAATGACTCCCTCCTAGACAACGACGCTGCTGTGAAGAATCTCCACAGTGATTTATTTAGCGTGCACCACACGTCTTCTAAACTGCACGGCGAACTCTCTTCGACCGAAAGTAACAAATCCCTCTCCTAAAAGACGATCTCAATAGCGCACTAGGCTAACAAAAACTCACAGACTCTTTATGAAAATATTATATTAAACCCCTTTCAATTATGAGCTGCGATGAAACCTTTAAATAAAGCTTCTCCATGTTCTCTCCACGTTGAGCATCTTTTCAAATCAAACTAAAAACTAAATCTCCTTTTGAATCCACTTTATCCAAATCCGATTCAAATATTATATATACCCTTAGCCATCTCCATATCAATGCCCATCAAAATCATTCACGCACAAATATATATATATATATATATATCCAAAGATAAACTGCGCTTGATCTGCACGTGTTATATCTCTCATTTATCTCTAAAGTCACTTTTGTAGATAAAACTCTCTTTGAAATTCAAACCAAACCATAATATGCTTTATCTTCTCCAAATTTCAACCAATATCTTATCTGCAATCTTAAACTTTAAATCTGATTCTGAATCTTCTTCTGCAATACGAAATCTTCTTGAACCTATTTTTTAAATTTTTATAAGATTGCCAATAAATTAGCAACTAATAAAAATACGTAACATACATTTTTTGTCAGAATGACATGCATATGGTGTGTTCTATCAGTAAAATTATATTTTATGTCGACATCACGTGCATATTTTGTCCTCTTTTTAACACCCAACTCCTAAAAAAAACTAAAACTGGAACAAACTGGTAGACAGGGGGCTAAGTTTTAGATGTTGACCAAAACGAGATTTGCGATAAAAGTTCAGCGACCATTTGCCAGATTAACCCAAATATGAAATAAAAAGAAAATACAAGACTAAAAAAAGAAAATTATATGGACTCCCAAATTAAAGCAAAGAAACAACACCAAAGAAAAAGAAGCAAAATCAATAAGGATGTGCCCAATCAAAGAAAGAGGCATCATTAAACCCGTTTGTCGAAAAAAAAAAACAACAGTAAGAAAAAAATCTGAAAGAAGGGTAAAACAACTACAAACTGATGTTAAAGTAATTAAGAAACAAGCTATATCTTCTTCATTATATGAAAAAGTTGCTAAATGGGCAAATTATTTATTTATTTGTTAAAGTACGGGCAAATTAATTAGGGACCAACTAACTACCTTGAAAGAATGTAGATCAGAATAAATAGACAAATTCACTAAATTGCTATAGAACCGCCACATGACAAAGTGTTCCCAATGAAATCTAAATTTACAACAAATTCTTTTCGTTTCTTTTTTAAAACTGAATAATGAAACAAAGCAATTAAATAGAAGTTTCGGAAGAATTAACATTTTGGAAGAAGGACCGTAACTTACCAAAGAAAATTTCCAAGGCCAGTACTGAGAGAAGACCAAAACTATGCATAAAAGACCAGATGTTAGAGAAACACTGTAAAAGCAGTTACCAATTGAACTAGGTGAAAAAAAAATAAAGAAATAAATTGAGCAATCAGAAAATGAGAGAAAATATTAAAGATTACATCTGTAGAAATAAGAGTATACCTCAATGTATTAGCAAATATGAGAAGAAGCTGGTATTTGTTGATCCAACGACTTGGTGAGTAGACCAAAAGATAGAAATGTGTGCTTGTAGACAAGGAGAATAAGCCCCAGGGCCCATAAGGAAGAAAAAAGATGAGATAGTTGGGGAACTCGCGAGTCTAGATTTTACTTCATTAATACTCTTTTATTAATTTGGTTATTTGAGTTTTTATTAATAAAGAGTAAAGGTATTGATCTCTTCAATAGAGATTTCATTGCCCAGCAATTAGTACACACTCTTGCACATAAATGTCCCGTTTAGTTTGTTAATTTAAGTTTTTAATTCGAGTTGAGATGTGATTTTATGTGAGAGTTTTTTACTATAATAAAAAAATTAAATGTGATTGTTTGTGAGAATTTTTTACTTTAATAAAACTCAAATTCTAAAGAGTCACGATATGTCTAATTTTTATGGGAAAAACAAATGTCCAATTTTTATGGGAAAAACCAATATGTCTAATTTTTATGGAAAAAATAAAAAATATCAGATGATAAAAATATTATTTATGTTATTCTATTAAAAATAAATAAATAATTGTCATTAGAAAAGGAGATAAATACCATTTAGAATGTATGGTCTGAATTTTTATCTTTTACTCTTGATTAGTGTTCTTTTTAATCAAATAACTATATTAGTTAAACGAGTATTAATCAAGAGTAAGGGATAAAAATTCACTCATGTATTCTAAAGATAAGTTCAACATTTTTCTCATTGTGTGTGTGTTCATTCAATTAATAAAAAGGAAACAAAAGATATAATGATACTAAGGGTTTGTTCTTTTGAGTGAAAAACTCAAAAAAATGCAACTCGAGTTACAACTTTATTCGAGTTCATGTTCTTTTAAGTTTAAACTTGAGTTCAAACTCGAGTTTAGGATTAAAACTCAAGTTGAAGTTTCCCCTTTAATTCGAGTTCAGAAACTCGAACTCAAATTAATGAACATTATTTTTTCTATTTTTAAAAATGTTATAACTTTTTCGTTTTAATTCTGATTGAGATGATTTTTTTTCTATGCGTTAACAACGAAAAGACGAATAAAACCCGACCCATATACCCTATTAAAATTTTTCATCAGCATTGAGTTTTTATTAAAAGCCTATCTAAATACAAATTCAAGATTTGACTCACTCAAACACAAACTCAAAAAGATTCTTATCTCAAACCATAACTCAAATGTACACAACCAAACACAAACTCAAGTTACAAGTTCAACTCAAGTTATAACTCAAATTCAACTCAAGAATTATACTCAAGTTAAACTCTAAAAGAACAAACCTTAAATTATTTAGAATGAAAAATAATAAGTATGCATAAAATCATGACAAACTATGTAATTTTTTTAATTTTTTATTGTTTTGAAAAGAGCTGGAAGTTTAATTTGACCAGTCTGAGGACCATTACTGTTAGCCCGATCTTGGCCAAGCCTCTCACGTTTTAGTTTTTGGTAGGTCTCGGGCTGGACTGAGCTAAGGTTTTGAGTTCAAAAGCTTATTGATAACACTTCAATTTTTTTTTATTTTGAAATATATTCTAAGAATTCAGCCTGGCCAGGGATGGTCTGACCCTCCCTTAATGCGGCCTAGTGGGCCGGTCCACTCTTTTCTTCGTGCCGGCTCAAATAGCCAATTACGTTAAGACGCATTATTTAATGAGCTCAACCGTTGAGAATGTTATTAAAAAAATATTTTAAATTTTTTAAAACTAAACCTCAATTGGCAACACAAGTATGTAGTATTCTAGCCAATATTACTCTTGTAAAGTGTGTCTTTTAGGTAAACTACGTCAATTGTTTCTAAATCTATATACTACATCTATAAATTCTATAATCCACAACTAGGTAAAAAGAATCAAATCTGCTTTTATTTTCGAGCAATTAAGAAACTAGAAAGCGACAAGAAGAAGAAAGTTAAAAAATGGATCATGGTTAGCCGTGAAAGGGGATCAAATTATTTGTCTTTTGATATTATTAATAATTAGAGGCATCAAGCAATACCTCTAAATTACCACAACATTTATTGTCAAAACATTTGCGAAAAATAAGTTAAATTATACTTATGCCTCGTTCATTTCATTGATTCGAGTTTTCAGTTTTAAATTTATACAGTAAAAAACTCTCAGAAAATGTCACATTTAACTTTTTCTGGTACAGTGAAAAGCTCTCGAAAAATATCACATCTTAGCTCGAATTGAAAACTCGAATCCACAAAGTGAACGAGGCCTTAATAGTGAAATTTTTCTTAAAAAAAAAAAAAAAAACGATAATGAATTCATGAAGACAAAAGAATATCAACATATAAGCAAAACTACTGTTTTTTTTCCCCTAGGTTTATCAACATGTAATTTGGAGGTTCTCCTGGATAAAAGAATGTCTAGGGATATAATAATTAGAGCTGCCCATAAATTCTAGCAAAACTAAAACTGCCTAACCAAAGCCAACTTCTTCCTATTCCTGTAAGCTGTAAAGTTAGTTATCCCTTTCCTTTGTCATTTCTGGTAGCAGTCCTCTCTATGAGATTTAAGATCGACCCATCGAGCCCTTGTTCTTCGCCTAAATTAACATAATTGCGTAAGCCTTTTTTTCTGCTTCTTTACTCTTCAATAAAATAGACAGCAAATATACTATTTTATCTATCGACAACTCGTAACAAGTGTCATCTCCCAGATCTTGGTATTCACATTTGCTGGCTTGATCATGATACGTTGGAACACAAGGTCCTGGTATGGTTGAATCCCAGTAAAGGCTTTGTAAAATCTTCTCCCGCCACCAAGATTGAACTTGGGTGT